TGAAATGTCAGCAAAAATGTACATATGAAAATATATCCACATTACAAATAATCAGGGTAGGAGAAACGCACGGACAAAGAGATTTTCAAAAAATCTGGAATTCAGAAAGTAGACGTAAGTTGGAGGAGAAGCTCGATGATCAGACTGTAGCAGGGCTGAGAGCCATTCTATGCTGCAGAGTCTCAGTGAGGCACCACTCTCAGAGTTGCCAGGTAAGGGAAGCGGTACTCAAAATAATTAATTCAAGGACCTTTTAAAGCATGGCCTGGCTGGGCACAGTGGCTCACGCCTGTAATCCCAGCACTTTGGGAGGCTGAGGTGAGTGCATCACAAGGTCAGGAGTTCAAGACCAGTCTGGCCAATATGGTGAAAACCCATCTCTACTAAAAATACAAAAATTAGTCAGGCACGATGGTGCACGCCTGTAGTCCCAGATACTCAGGAAGCTGAGGCAGGAGAATCGCTTGAACCCAGGAGGCAGAGGTTGCAGTGAGCTGAAATTGCACCACTGCACTCCAGCCTGGGCAACAGAGGGAGACTCCATCTCAAAAAAAAAGGGGGGGCATCTGCCCAAGGCTCCCAGCACCCATCCCAAGATTACAAAACAATATGTCCCAAGTATAAAATGGAGAACTGTTATAGAAAGAAACTGAAAGATCTACCTGAGCAGGACTTCAGCCAAGTATGGGAGATTAGCCCCCAGGAACATTAATAAGGACTAATAAGCACTAATTAGGAACCTAATAAGTAATCTAGTAGACATCTGATAAGTTTTTGCACCTGTAAAACAAAAATAAGCTACTATGATACAGCAGAGGTCAGAGAACAAGAAAGGTTCTTATAAAGAATATGATTGTGGACTTAAAAAAATTAAAAGTCCATCAAAAGGATTCAAACATAAATTCAATAATATCTTCCAGAAAACAAAGAAAACATCAAAGAGCCAGAAAATATAAAAGTTGAGCCATGGTGGTCCAACAGCCAACCAACAGGAATGCCATAAAGAAGAAACAAAGAGGCCAGGTGTGGAGGCTCACACCTGTAATCCTAACACTTTGGGAGGCCAAGCCAGGTGGATTGCTTGAGCTCAGGAGGCCAAGACCAGCCTGAGGAACATTGTGAAACCCCATCTCCACAAAAAAATACAAAAACTAGCCAAGTAGCTGGGACTATAGTAGCTGGGATCCCTTGCGCCTGGGAGGCAGAGGTTACAGTGAGCTGAGATTACACCACTGCACTCTAGCCTGGGTAATAGAGCGAGACCCTATCTCAATCAATCAATCAATCAATAAAAATAAAGAGGAGAGGAAATAATTTGTAAAATAGGAACAAAATCCAGGTGAGGTTTCTTTTCTTTTTTTTGAGACAAATTTTCATTCTTGTTTCCCAGGCTGGAGTGCAGTGACATGATATTGGCTCACTGCAACCCCCTCCTCCCAGGTTCAAGGGATTCTCCTGCCTCAGCCTCCTGAGTAGCTGGGATTACAGGCGTGGGCCACCACTCCCAGCTACCATTGTTATTTTTTTCCTTTCCTTTCCTTTTCTTTTTTTTTTTTGAGACAGAATCTCACTCTCTCACGCAGGCTGGAATGCAGTGGCACAATCTCGGTTCACTGCAAACCTCCACCTCCTGGGCTCAGCTGATTCTCCTGCCTCAGCCTCCTGAGTAGCTGGGATTATAGGCACATACCACGATGCCCAGCTATTTTTGTATTTTTAGTAGAAACAAAAATACAAAATTAGACTCCCAGGAACACTAATAATTAGTCCTTATTGGTGTTCCTGGGGGGCTAATTTTAGTGTTCCATGGGGGTTTCACCATGTTTGCCAGGCTGGTCTCAAACTCCTGACCTTAGGTGATCTACCCACCTCAGCCTCCCAAAGTGCTGGGACTACAGGCATGAGCCATTTCACCAGGTCAGTTTTCCTGCCTCAGCTTCCCAAGTAGCTGGAATTATAAGCATGCACCACCACACCCAGCTAACTTTTATATTTTTAGTAAAGATGGAGTTTTGCCATGTCGGCCAAGCGGATCTTGAACTCCTGGCCTCAAGTGATCCACCTGCCTTTGCCTTCCAAGTGCTAGATTACAGGCAGGCATAAGCCACCACATCGGGCCCTTACTTAGATTTTAAGGAGCAGGTAACACTGACACCTGGAAAGTGTTCAACCTTTCTGACAAGAGATAGCTCATTTAAAAAAATCTTTTCCTTTGTTTTCCAGCACACAGCAAACATGATAAAAACACACACATTTAGAAACCACCTACTTTCTACAGAGAAGAAAAGAACTCAGAACTAACATGAATTATATATATCCTTACTATATATACTTTATGGTGGTTAGGTCCGAATTTATGAGGAAAGTGTAAACTCAAAGGAATTTTTAAGTTTTGGAGCTGAAATCACAAATAGAGATTTCTAGTCCAGTTATTTTTCAAGTGCAAATTCACAAAGTTTTCTAAGTGTCTTCAACAAATGATGCTGGGACAAGAGGATATCCATATGCAAAAAAAATGAAGTTAGCTTCTTCTCTCACACCATATACAAAACCAACTCAAAATAAGTCCAAAGACCTAAATGTAACAGCTAAAACTATAAAACCCTTACAAGAAAATATAGGGATAAGGCTTTGGGACACTGGATTTGAAAATGGTTTCTTATATATGATACCAAAAGCACAAGCACCAATAGAAATATTAAAGAAACTAAACTGGCAGGGCACAGTGGCTCATGTCTGTAATCCCAGCACTCTGGGAGGCTGAGGTGGGCGGATCACCTGAGGTCAGGAGTTCAAGACCAGCTTGACCAACATGGAGAAACCCCGTCTCATAAAAAAAAAAAAAAAAATTTATAATTAAAATAAATAAATAAAAAATAAAGAAACTAGGCTGGGCGCGGTGGCTCATACCTGTAACCCCAGCACTTTGGGAGGCAGAGGCGGGTGGATCATGAGGTCAAGAGATCAAGACCATCCTGGTCAACATGGTGAAACCCCGTCTCTACTAAAAATACAAAAAATTAGCTAGGCATGGTGGCACATGCCTGTAATCCCAGCTACTCAGGAGGCTGAGACAGGAGAATTGCCTGAACCCAGGAGGCGGAGGTTGCGGTGAGCGGAGATGGCGCCATTGCACTCCAGCCTGGGTAATAAGAGCGAAACTCTGTCTCAAAAAAGAAAAGAAAAGAAAAGCAAGAAAGCAAGGAGGAAAGGAGGAAAGGAGGAAAGGAGGAAAGAAGGAAAGAAGGAAAGAAAGAAAGAAAGAAGCTAAACTTCATCAAAATCAAAACTGTTGTACTTCAAAGAACACTATAAAGAGAGTGAAAAGACAATCCATATGACCCATAATTCCACTTGTAGGTATATGTCCAAGAGAAATTAAAACATATGTGTACCCAAAATCTTCAAAGCAACACTATTCACAGTACTCAAAAGGTGTAAATGCAAATGTTTACCAACTGCTGAATGAATGCACAAATGTGGCATATCCATATGATGGACTATTTATTCAGCCATAAAAGGGAATGAAGTACTGGCATATGTTACAACATGGATGAACCTTGAAAACAGCATGTTGGCTGGGCGCGGTGGCTCACTCCTATAATCCCAGCACTTTGGGAGGCCGAGGCGGGTGGATCACAAGGTCAAGAGATCGAGACCATCCTGGTCAACAAGGTGAAACCCCGTCTCTACTAAAAATACAAAAATTAGCTGGGCATGGTGGCACGCGCCTGTAGTCCCAGCTACTCAGGAGGCTGAGGCAGGAGAATTGCTTGAACCCAGAAGGCGGAGGTTGTGGTGAGCCAAGATCGTGCCATTGCACTCCAGTCTAGGTAACAACAGCGAAACTCCCTCTCAAAAAAAAAAAAAAGAAAACAGCATGTTAAGTGAAAGAAGTCAGTTATAAGAAGGCCACACAAATCCATTTATATGAATTGTCCAGAGAGAAAAAGAAGGTAGATTCATGGTTGTCAGGGAATAAGAGAGCGGGGAGTAGGTATGCTTAACCTCATACTTAATGAGTATGGGGTTTCCATTTGGGGTGATGATTATGTCCAAAGGCTTTGTAACTGTATTCCTTCCCCTTTATGCTACATCCAACATCTGTGCTGGAAGCTTTTTAAAGAAGTCCTAAACTGCTTGATGCCAGCCGAAAGGAAGGCAAACAGCTTCAATACACGCTAGTTAATCAAAGATGAAGAACCACAGTATAAGAAAAGTTGCTACTGAGAGTTAGCATGGGAGATAATGATAAAAAATTTTGACTATGGTAAGACAATTACAAACATGAAACAGGATAGCATTACATCACTCTGATATCATGTACTTACCCAGATCACAGTTTCTCAATTTTGGCACTGCTGACATCTAGACCAGAATTCTTTGTCATGGGGGCTGTCCTCTTGTGCTTTGCAGGATGTTTAGCAGCACCTCCGGCCACAACCCACCAGACACTAGTAGCGTTCTCTAGTCATGACAATTAAAAATGTTTCCAGACATTTTGTCCCAGGTGGCAAAATGGCTCTCAGATGAGAACCACGGCTCTAGACTAAAATCCTGAGCATTCTGTCCAACATGAATATACATGAAGTGATGTACCTAGGGTTATGTGTTGGTAAATCAGAGAAGACAAAAAACCTAGACCACCTGGGATTGCTATGGGTCAACTTCCTAAAAGCCAATGTTTGGGAAAGGATTATAAGAAAATGTATGGAGAGAGAGCTGAAATCTTGAAAATACATTCCTAGGATTAGAACAATGGCCACCTAAATTAAGGGGAGTTGGAATAGAACAACAGGGACCCGGTAATACTCTTCATTGTCACTGTTTTGTTGATTTAATTCCCTTGTGGATCAATGATGCTCAAAGACCAGTAGAGAAATGGTCCCTGCTATCTGCATGCTGGATGCCTATCATGTCTGCCCTGGGGATAAAGGCAGCTATTCAGACACTGCCAGAGAGTTTCTGGTTTCTGTAAAGAAAATAAAAACACTGCCTACCTGAGAGTCCCGTTCTCTCCTTTGTCCAGGCTGGTGAACCGGCTGTAGAGGCGAGTGATTTGACTGTGGGAAACTAAAGAGCACAAAATTAGTTGGGGGGGGGGGGCAGGGGAAGGGGAAGGGGGAGCAGCCCTCCTTCACACTGAACCCACCCCCTGCTGTCAGATGCTTCAAAATTGAGTAAGACTGGGATGTCACAACTCTTATCTCAAGAATGTTAAAGCAGAGAGTTTAAAAGCTAAAGAATGAAAGGAGTTAGAAAATACACTAAATCCAAAGCAATCAAAATTCAATCTCAAGAATGAAGTCTAGGCTTAATTAAGACTGTATTGAATGTCAGATGGCTAATATTTAACAAAACAAAGCCAAATGTAGTCTTTTTTTCTTCTTTTTCTTTTGTTTGCATAGTTTTTTATTTTATTTTTTTGAGGCAAAGTTTTGCTCTTTTCACCCAGGCTGGAGTGCAGTGGCACAATCTTGGCTCACTGCAACCTCTGCCTCCTGGGTTCAAGCGATTGTCCTGCCTCAGCCTCCGGAGTAGCTGGGATTACAGGCGCCTGCCACCACACCCAGCTAATTTTATGTATTTTTAGTAGAGATGGGGTTTTACCATGTTGGCCAGGCTGGTCTTGAACGCCTGACCTCAGGTGATCCACCTGCCTCCGCCTCCCATAGTGCTGGGATTATAGGCATGAGCTGCCACACCTGGCCCAAATTTAGTTTAAAAGGAAACTGTGACACTTTAATGTCCTGACTTAGAGGCTAAGAAAATGTGTTTTTATTTTATTTTACTTTTTTTTTCTTTGAGATGGGGTTTCACTCTTGTTACCCAGGCTGGAGTGCAATGGCACGATCTCAGCTCACTGGAATTTCCAACTCTCAGGTTCAAGTGATTCTCCTGACTGAGTCTCCCAAGTAGCTGGGATTACAGGTGCCCACCACCATGCCCGGCTAATTTTATAATTTTAGTAGACACAGGGTTTCACCATGTTGACCAGGATGCTTTTGAGCTCCTGACCTCAGGTGATCCACCCGCCTCGGCCTCCCAAAGTGCTGGGATTACAGGCATGAGCCACCATACCTGGCCTATTTTACTTTTTTTGGAGATGAAGTCTCACTGCTTCCCAGGCTGGAGTGCAGCGGCGCAATCTCAGCTCTCTGCATCCTCTGTCTCCCATGTTCAAGTGATCCTCCTGCCTCAGCCTCCTGAGTAGTTGGGATTACAGAGGCCCATCACCACACCTGGCTAATTTTTTGTATTTTTAGTAGAGAAGGGGTTTCACTATGTTAGCCATGCTGGTCTTGAACTGCTGAACTCATGATCCACCCAGTTTGGCCTCCCAAAGTGCTGGGATTACAGGCGTGAGCGACCATGCCCAGCCTATTTTACTTATTTTTTAAATTTTATTTTATTTTTTTGAGACAGTTTCATTTTGTCACCTAGGCTGGACTGCAGTGATGCAGTCTCAGCTCACTACAACCTCCACTTCCTGGGTTCAAGCGATTCTTGTGCCTCAGTGTCCCGAGTAGCTGGGATTACAGGCATGAGCCACAGTTCCCGGCTAAAAATGCATGTTTTGATTGAAAAAATACCTATGATCTGTTTGCTATTTCAGGGTGTACTGCGAGGTAGGTGTTGTGTGTAGAATGTTTGACTGGGGTACATCAGAGTCTGTTTTACAAATCTGTTTACTCCCATACCAGGCATTAGAGGCTTTATCCTTTCCCTCCGGATGGACCCTTGGGTAAAAGATCAGCCTCTTTTCTGTGATTGCATGAGCTTCACTGATTTCCCAGGAAAGGAACTGGCTCCAAGGAAGCAAATTAGGCAAATGTGTAAAATGGTCATGCGATCATCAGATGACATCTACCAGAAAGTTATTTTGCTCCTCATTTTGGATTTAGTCCATAAACTCAAGGTACAAGTTGACAATTAAGATGATGTAATAATGGCAGGTACACAATAACACTAAAAAGTCAAAAAGGCCTTTCTGGGAAATAGTTTAGTCTCCTGATAGACTGGAAGTAAGAGAAGGTCAACAAACAGAGTTATCGGAGGAGAAAAGACAACATCCTAAAAGGGTGTGACAGGTGTGGACTTTGTCCTAGGCTGTACCTTCAGACGTTTAAAGGGGTGACCAAAGTAGTTCCGATAGCTGTCCTCCTCCCTCCGCTCACGAAACAAAATTTACCAGTGTTGGCAACAATGGGACAAAGTAAACAGGGACAAGCAAGAAGTGAGTGGCCCAGAGCTGGGGTAAGAGGACATACTAGGTGAGGCTGTGAATTCTTCAGCATTAGGTTTCACCCTTGAAGCTGGGCTGTTCTGTCCTAGCGCTCTAAGCTGATCACTGAGCAGAGAAGGCAAAAGTATTTCCATCTGAGGCAGAGCCAGTAGGGATCGAGCCACGAAGGATGCAGTTGTGGACCGTTTTGCCAGCCAGGAAGGTATAAATGGATCACTGTAAAGTGTACACACTTGTGAGAGTTAAGCAGACAGATTCTGATTCCATTCCTAGCACCACTGCTTACCAGAGCAGGGTAAGTGAATGGGACTGTAGGGCAAACTAACCAGTCAATGAAAGGAAAGTGCTTGGCAAAGAGCCTGGCACATGGCAAGCAGTCCAGGTTAGCTATTATCAGCATCACACTTACATTCTGAGCCTGAAGGCACAAGTATTACTGCTGCACTAATTACTCTCCATTTCCCTCCTGACTCTGCTAGTTACAACTGTTTTGTTTAAGAAATTGACCAGTCTATCCCAGCTCTGGTCTCAGGCCTCAAAGGCTACCCTTGTAATGATGTTCCCTTTAGTTAAGCAAAAATAAGTCAGTTAAAGAATTACTAAGTTTCCCAAAAGACTTTTTGAAAAAAAACAGAATTTGTTCACAATCCCAACACTGCCATTTTCATTTCTTCACATGTCATCTAGTATCAGTTACTTGCATACTTTACAAAGTTGTAATAACTTGGTTTTCATTTAGTAATTCACACTTTTTCTATATTGCTTTGGAGTCCTTCTTGATCCCATTTATATAATTCTAAAATTGGAAGAAATGTTATCTAATCCAACCCCTTCAATGAACAAATGAGAGCCAGGCACAATGGCTCTCGCCTATAATCTCAGCACTTTCAGGCAGGATGAGGCCAGGAGTTCAAGACCAGCCAGGGCAACAGAGTGATACCCCATCTTTACAAAAACAAAAAATAAAATTATTTTAAACCAGAAAAAGCCACAAATAAGCCATTAAACATCTTTCTAATCTATATTATCTAAAGTAACTGTGCACTGAAACCTCCTATAGTATAACACCAGTTTACATCTGCTTAAATTCAAAATGTGACAGGGCGCAGTGGGGCAAGCCTGCAATCCTGCACTTTGGGAGGCTGAGGCAGATGGATCACCTGAGGTCAAGAGTTCGAGACCAGCCTGGCCAACATGGTGAAATCCCATCTCTATTAAAAATACAAAAATAAGCCAGGTGTGGTGGTGTAATACCAGCTACTTAGGAGGCTGAGGCAGGAAAATTGCTTGAACCAGGGAGGCAGAGGTTGCTGTGAGCTGAGATCTCACCACTGCACTCCAGAGTGAGACTCCACCTCAAACAACAACAACAAAGTACTAATATGTTAAAAATAAATAATGTAAATAAGTAGCCAAAACAATCATAAAACTACTGTCTTCCAGGATGAACTGGGCTATATGGGAGTCAGCAAAGAAACACAACCAAATGTCGACTTTTAATATTAATCAATATGGTCATATCTAAACTACAAAATTTTGGAACTAATTTTAGAACCATAATGATATGGTTACAAGGAGTTTTATTAACAAAAAGGAGAGAAGGCTTTAATTTAGGTGCTAAATTCACTGTGACAAAGAATATAAAGCAATCTCAGAACAACTCTAATCTATCCACAATCCATGTGCAGGAAGGTATTGGAACCAGGAAGAATGAAGTCAGATCATGTTTCCAGTGAACTATTTCCCCCCGAAGGCTCTAAGCCAGTCAGACAGGTACCCAAAACCTGCACAATTCTTGGTAAGCCGAAGGAAGTATCAGGAGTTGATAGCTACTCTCAGAGAAGTCATACATGTAAACATGTCTTGAATGAAGCTGTTTTTTTCTCCACTGGCATGGGCAAATAATCATTTTAAATTGTTGAAAGATTATTTAAGACTCTGACTGAGGGCGGTGGCTGATGCCTGTAATCTTAGCACTTTGGGAGGCTAAGTGGGAGGATCCCCTGAAGAAAGGACAGTTCAAAACTAGCCTGGGCAATAAAAGAAGACCCCATCTCTACAATGAATGAATGAATCAATCAATCAATAATTAGATGGCCATGGTGGTACATGCCTGTACACCTAGCTACTTGGGAGGCTGAGGCAGAAGGACTGTTTCAGCCCAGGAATTCAAAGTTGCAGTGAGCTATGATCACACCCCTGCACTCCAACCTGAGTGACAGAGTGAGGCCTTGTCTCAAAAAACACACACACACAAAAAAAAAAGAAGAAAGAAGAAGAAGAGGAGAAGAAGAAGGCCCTGTTAACCTTCCTGAAATCTTCCTATCATCACTGCATTGGGCAAAGAAGAGGAAGGCATTTCAGAGAAGTGCCAAGCAGAAATGGCAGAGAAAAGAATAAAAACAACAACGGAGTAAGAAAAAGTTATTTTGTCCTTGCCTTTATTCCAAATCTTAATGCAGAAGAACAGACCGATAACCTAGGTAAAGCATACAAGTGCAGCTAAAGGTAGCTCTAGATAAAGGAAAGTTGAGGCTTATGTGTCCTAAACATTCCCCCTGACATGAAGACTTCAAGAACTGGATTAGTCTCTTAGGGATTAAGAGGGATTTTAAAAACATTATATGAAACAAACAAAATCTACCTTTTAATAATTGGAGAAAATTGAGTAAGAAGTGAATGACAGATAATATTAAGCAGTATTATCAACTTTCTAAGGTGTGATAACAGTAATGCAGTTACATAAAAACAATCCCAATACTTAGGGGACAATGCAGAAGTATGAAGAAGTAGAGTTCTAATACCTGCAACTTCCTTTTTTTTTTGA